GCAACTCCCAGACAGGACTGAACAGGTTCTAACCTGAACAGGAGGGAGGGTGGAGGTTGTGGTTTTACTCTCTCAAGATCGCACAGCTGCTGCGCAGTGTGGCTTGTTTGCACACAAATCAGTCCCGGTCATATTTGAACCACCTTGTAACTACATAATGTAACCTCCAATCCAATCCCACTTCTGACATTAGTTGCCATGTGACTGAGTGACTATAGGCGGGGTTCGGATTGGTAATCGGATTTATTCGACACTTCAACATACAACTCGTGACTACACTTTACACATCACTATCATATAAAGACTAGTGTTCTCAGTCATGGTTTTCACTGCTCTGTTTGGTATTGTCTTCCAACGGCGGACATTCCTCTGCTTCCAGATTCTTGTCCCTGCAGGCTGGCAGCCATCCCATACCAACCTCCTACTCTTCTATCTGCTGTCTCAGGACTCTCCTGTAATGGCATCTGGTTGATATATAGCTTTAGCACAGACATCACTTCCATTATTGAGTGGTCTCTCATTGCTGAGGAAACAAGAGTTCTTCCCTAGCATTGGCTGTTTTACTGTCACCTGTTTACACAGCTGTTACTTGGCAATGGGTCTATGTGCCACAGTACAAATGTGGCTTTAAAAGAAGGTTGACAAAAACAGAATACAAGAAGAGGAGGAAGAAAAACAGTGGGGAAACAATAACACAATAAGACATATCATAAACACATGCTCAACCAAAAACTTGGAACTTTTAAAGTGCGGAAAGGAATTCTTAAAAAATAACTCACTTTCCAATTACTAGAGAAAATTATAATCTAACAGAATTTGAAGCATGAAACTTGTTACTGCTGTGATATATACTGGCATAAAAACACTAGAACAAGGAGGAGAACATTATTAGGGGGCCAAAAATAACGATATGTGAAAACCATTCATAAACCCAAAGTACTAAGTAAAGTAAAAGTAAAGTAAAGGTATCCCTGTAACAGGCTGTGAAGGCCCATAGGGTTGTGAGATGTCGAGGCTCCCACATTTTCTAGACAATCAGCTCACAGATGGTGGTAAAGTTGTCAGGCTTACGCGCTGGCCGCCCTTTCCCCCCAGGTATATTCCTGGCAGTCATTTCTGTTAGAGGCTGAGTAGACCCCAGGGCCATAGTGTGGCTGGAAGGATTAAGTAATTTGAAAAAATCCACCTCATCGGGATTCGATCCTGCAACCTTCCAGTTTGTAGCATAGTGCCTCAACCAACTACACTACCGCGTGTCCCCCAACCCAAAGTACTACAAATTTTATATCCTCTGAGCTTACAAGTTCAAAGAAAGTTGCTAGTGTCAATGTTCAAAGTGTTCAATATAAAATACTTTGATCTGGAGAAACAGATTTCAAAGAATTATTAGACCAATATTCAACATCAGTCCAAAACGGACATGCCCTACTATTTTACGTGGAAAATACAATTTGGAATCAATTACATTTTGATTCCATGATGAGTTAAATTAAGTTTCAAATTGCAGCCACTTCTTAACCAAGGAGACCTGGTGACCTCGAGTAAAATGCCAGACTCTCCTTTGGAGGGTTCTGAATTTGATCCTTGATCAGATCTGTGTGGATGTTTCTGTGCCCACAGGCTGAAATCTTAATCTCCACCACAAACAAAATTCTGAGAATGTAAAGAACATATCAGCTTCCCCCATGGTTCCAACCTCCCATTAAGCTGTTCATGTTCATTCTCAGGATCATACCAACATTGATGGTAAAAGAAACTGCACTAAGAAACTGATTCTGTGCCCTGCTTAAGTGAGCAGATGCCATATTTTCAGGCATTATGGATGTTCTATCAATTGTCTTGGTTGATGTGGACTGCTTCTTTGTAAAGAGATAAAAATTATAATAGTTAACACCATTTCACCCTACAAACCGGACTAGAAACACATATGAAAAGGTTTGAGAAAGATGTAAAAGTTTTACGATGTGTGGCTCTTTTTGAGAAAACAACAACCACAATCTTTCTCTTTTTGTGGCCTCAGAAAACACCATCAAACTCTCGAATGTATTTAATACGTTTCTAATGCTAATAACATGCTTAATTTGTGTTACACAGGGAGTGCACACTTAATGCTCTGTGGATAGGAAAAAGAAAAAAGGAATTGCTGGGGACAGTTCACTGTGTGTGTGTGTGTGTGTGTGTATGAGAGAGAGAGATATATTGTTTATATTTAAATACACATTAAAAATATCAAAAGTGAACTTGTATCTGACAAACTATGGTATACCATACTTTAACAACGAATGGAAACTGCTGTCAGACAAAAAAGAATTGTTGAAATAAAATAAAGCATTGCTGGGAATGGGTTATATGATTGAATGTATCCATAACTGCTGTCATAAAGAAAGCATTTGTTGAAATAAACAATGAGGATTATTGTTTTGAATGGGTGTGTGAGATGGGTTTAGGGCAATGTGTTCAGAGATAAAGGAACGAGGTAACTTGACCTATGCGAACACATGCTCAGGAATATACTTATGAATTTTTACACTTGGCATATAGGAGACATTCTCACAACCCTACAGTTGGCAGACTAAGTGATTGGAAGGAAGCGTGATGTGATTTTGTACAACAGTGCTTTGCTTGATCTCAACATGTGTAGCTAATGTGTAGCTATCATGATTCTGTATAACACATTAGGGAACTTAATATCTGTTCTTTAGTAAAATAATTAATTTGAAATCATCTTTCAGGACTTAACCTTCTCAAAAGTTTTCCTGCTTAATCAGCTCAATTTGATCAGGTTTTTCAATGTTTTAAGAGATTTCCAGTGTAATCCATTAAAAATATCATTACCTATTGAGCTCACAAGCTTTCTCAGGTGTGCCAGGTAAACATGGTTCTTAATATCCAAAGAAGTTCAAACTTAACAGAGAAAAGAAACAAAAAAAGAGGGGAAAATGAAATGGTAGTATACCCACCATATTCATATAACCCTGGAGAACCAGAAATGCATGGTTCCCATGGCAGATGTGATAAAAGGTATATCTTCAACAAAGATGAGCTAACCCATCACCCATCTCTGGTGTTTCATTACAAAAATGTGAGCGAACTTATATGGCCCTTCTATGATGTGTTAATAATAAGAAGTGTGTAATTAATTTTGAAGTGTGATAAAAATATATAATGTAAGGCAAATCACTATATATGTAAAAATCACAAAGATTACATATGTATCCCATGCATCATGTACACTACTACCTAGAAAAGACACAGCAGAGACTATATTTACCAAACACATGACACTATAATTTCCTTAAAATATGAACAAGTTTTGTGAAAAAAGAAGTTTAATTTTGCTTTAGAAATGAAAAACTATGTTATTTGAAACAACAAATGTTATCCTCAAATTAAATACAATGTCACAGCCATAGATAAAGGTACTGCAGTCAAACTGGATTATGAGACAGCACAACTCCAAAAAAACTACACAATTTGTCTCAATAAAAATTAACCTTTAAACGCCGGACTTCTGAAACAGTGGTAAGCTTGAGCTGGCCGGAGTTTATTTAAATGCCCGCTGCTGGTATGCATTTAAATGCCCGTTGCTACTTTGCGTTTTAACGTCCATTTCTGTTAGTGCGCCTAAACAATTTTAAGCATTGTGTTTAAAAATGCTGTACCTAACTCAATTTTTATGATAAATGGATGGAATTAATTTTGTTTGCATCAGCAAAGAACATACTGTCGCATATTATAACAGAAGATTTGAAATTTTTTATACAAATTATACTCTATTTTCAATTTTTTGTCTTTTAATTTTGATGAGTACTGCAAAAATGGTTTCTCAGTTCTTCAGAGTTGTTCTGCATTACAAATTCATTTCTGTTTGTAACACTTGACAAATTTTAGCAGTCCCTGATGTCATAAAACAGATGGAAGCAATAAAATCATTTTGTCTTCTGCTAGCAGTCTTTTGACTGAAGGTCAGAAGAATGAAAGAATGGCTATTCAAGAGAAAGCTAGAGGGGTCCCTTCTTCAGTGCTAAGACCTTCTGTTATAGCTGCAAAAGCTCACTGCCCTTTCTATGGGCCTGAACAGACAGCTGCATCGCGGCTGAGATTCAGAGTGCGGTTTGTTTTCTATGCGTGCTTAGTGAAATCGAATACTGTAGTTTTATTTCAGCCTATATATACATCAAGCAGATAACAACAAAAAAGGTATGTACATCGAATTTTACTATATATTTTTAACACATTAATCTGCAGAATCTGCAATAAAAGGACTGGCTCATGGATGAGTTTGGGCATAACTCATACGTATATTTTTTTTGCTGTTGTTCACTTAATTTCATTTTTCTATTAGGGCTTTACTCAAGTCTGTCTGGTAATTACTACATTTAAAAATAAATATTTAGGACTGTGCATTCGCTTCTACTAGCGGCATGTGCACGCGCCTCCCCTAGCAGAGTTTAAATGCCCAACTGGCCAAAACGGGGTACTTTGGCCACGACGACCTTACTCACCACCGGCACAAACGGGGCACTTCGGCACTTAAAGGTTAACCAGCAGGTAAAAAAATATTACAAACTGATATCCAACATAAAATTACAGTGTTTCCTAAATCATTACAATTTAAAATCATAGTGCCAATGGTGTCATAACATGTCACAGAACTTCACACAAGATCTTAAAAACAGAAACTGTCAATCATAACATGCTTTGACTATTAGAGATGTTGTTAACAGGAACATATGCACACATAAATTATGAAAGGAATATTATTATAAATCAGGAAGTGTTCCCAAAAAATCTGCGAAGCGCACTTACAAACTACATTTAATGCTTGCACACACACACACACCCAGAGCATTCCATTGCACCACAACACATTGGCATTCTGAAAGTTCAATCACTCAGGGTCCCAAGCTGTCTCTGAGGACTCAGTTCTGCATTATTCTTTAAAATCACAGGCGTCTGTATGATGAGATTCTGAAGACTCACTACTAGACAGAATATACCTTCTTTGCAATGGAGTACAACATGATGCGCTCCCAATTTTTTGGTTCCTTGCGGCTCAGAGGTGATAATGCCAGCTCCAGTAAGTACTCCCTGGAATACTTCCCAGTAATCCCTGTAACAGAATTTGTAATTTTCAACCTGTGGTCTGGAAACTTATTATAATTTTTATTATTGTGCTGTTAATAATAAAACACAATGCTGCTGAATTCCCCCCAGTAACAGTTTACGCTGGTCCTTTCTCCATCCAGTTCTTACACAAAAACACATTTCTTAGAGTGTTACACTGATCCTGCTGACATAATACACTGTACTGCATTTATTCGCACAACTTCAAATACATTTTTGCATATTCAAAACACCTGGCCATACACACCTCTATCAAATGGGTAAAATGTTCCAATGGGTATCTATAAAATTTTCTTCTTAGGTGAAATATCTATTCATGTTAAGTGAGATTCTTATGGTATTACTTTTGGGACATGATGGTTTCAATTGAGAAAACATTTTAAACAGGGTCTTCTTAAGTGGAGTCCCCTGCATTTTCATATCCATGGAGTTCAGGCTTGCAATAAGGCATGCTGAAATTTCACATTGGATACATCTTGTCACAAAGCTGAAACCTCTGGCATCAGAATCAAGATCATCATGTATCCTCTGATAATTAGAACTGGCTGACAAATATGTGGTGCAATCCAAAACTTCCCAAAATATATTAATGAAAACTATTACATCTTACCTGGATCTTATTCTACTCCACCACCTTCAAAATAGTCCCCTTGGGAGCGCATACACCGATCCCAGAATTTCTGCCACTTTTGAAATGCATCCTGGAAGTCTTTCTTTGTTAGGGTGTTTAGTACTGTCTGCGTTTCCACTTGAATTTCCTCAGTTGTGTCAAATCTTCGCCCCTTCAACTTGATTTTCATCTTGGGGAAGAGAAAGAAGTCACATGGAGCTAAGTCTGGCGAGTATGGTGGGTGGGGAACAACTACCATCTTGTTTTAGTAAAAAATTCCTGCACAATATAAGCCGTATGCAGTTGTGCGTTGTCATGGTGGAGTACCCAGTCATTCGAGTGAGACTTCTCTGGACGTTTTCTCCTCTTGTCCTCCATCAAACACCTTAGAACATCACGATAGAACTCTTTATTGACTGTCTGACCAGGAGGGATGAACTCCTTATGAACATTCCTGTCAGTATAAAAAAAAAACAGATGAACATGGACTTAATGTTGCTCTTGACTTGTCAAGCTTTTTTTGGCCGAGGTGAAGAAGGGTTCTTCCATTGCGACGATTGCTGCTTACTTTTAGGGTCATAGCCATAAACCCAACTTTCGTCACCAGTGACAACATTCGAAATAAAGTCTGGACCCTCTTCAAGCTGTTGTTGGAAGTTCCCTGCAGACTTCCAAGGAATGCTGCTCCTGTTCATTTTGCAGCAGTTGTGGCACACACTTCACCACAATCTTCCTCACGTTCAGTTCCTGACAAAATTCGTTGACATGTACCATAACTTAGTCCCAAGGTGTTACAGAGGTCTTGGATGGTCAGTTATTATCTTGCAGAATCAGATCCCTAACTTTCACGACATTTTCTGGTGTGGTGCCAGTTGACAGCCGTCCCAAACAATCGTCATCATCAGTCGATGTTCGGCCATTCTTGAAATGCTTATACAAGTCATAAATTTGTGTCTGGCCTAAACTGTTGTCACCAGAAGTGCGCTTCAACATCTGGTGCGTTTCTACAGTGGTTTTCCCAAGTTTAAAACAAAACTTTATACAGACATGCTGCTCTCTCAGGTCAGCCATCGCAAAACCGAAAACTCACAGAAACACAACAATGGAAATATGTTCAACAATAAACCCAACCACTTAACTCGACGCCGCTTGCCACACTGATTCAAGAAGGGTGTGTGGGGGGAGACACCTAGCAGTATTTTGATATACTCATAACCATTCACATGGAAAATTCAAATTTCGGGAACTTTTGGATTGTACCACGTACTACCAAAATGTGATGAGCCTATTAGATGTGAAACAAATGTACCCACCAGTACTCTGAGCTTCAGTCTTGGTTACAGCTGATTCGTCCTTCTTCTGCTGACTGCTCGTATGAGCAAAACATGCACGTCTGTTTCGAGCATTCACATCCACTGCTCTGGGGGATGTCTCTGCTTGTTCAAACACTTCCCTTGAAGCATCTGGGAATAGCGGCTGCCGGACGACAGTTAACTGGCTCACTGAGATGGTGTCAAGAGCTGGGGATGAGGAAGGGGCAGGTTCCAGTGTGAGAGGGGCTTTGTAAGTCTCATCACTCTCACTGGTGGCATTGCTGTCCTGACTATCAACTCGACTGACAGAAGAAAATTTACCAGGAGGTGCAACAAGCAGAGGCGTAGATGGTGTCTTTGGTTCATCCTCATATCTGCTAATGCATAAGAAGAATTACTGGTGTATAGAGGGTATGGAAAGAGGTTGATATACTTCAATAAAAAAAAAAGTTCACTATACAAAATACTTGCACAGAATTTTCCTGAATTGAATTCACAACAGAACATAACTTGACTGATTATAAAATGCTAAATGCAAGGATAATATTCTTTTACATGTATGCAGATTGGAGGCAACCCAACAGACATGTCTGCAACAGTATACTGGTTTATAGGAGAAACAAGAGCACGCATCATGAGGCATTATATACTGTACTTGCGAATCCTAACTAACACTCATTGGGTTGCACATGAAAGAGGCCTCTCTCACTGTCCACTTTGGCATCCCATGCATGAGGTGCAGCTGTACCCTTTTCATGTACAACTTGTACAAGGGCTATGGTCAGGGAACCATAATCTTCGCTTCCAATTTTGCCAATGACTTCTATACAAATTTACAGATAAACGTGACTTTCTGTACTATGTAGTCCAGACTGATGAGGCAACATTCAAAGGGCAAGAGTAAAGAATTTCCACAATATAAAATGAAAATTGGACAGTCCTCACAGTACTTGACGCTCTTCACTTCAACAAAGAGAGTTTGGTTGGTTGGTTTCCAATGGCTGCATCTGGGATCGTTTAACCCATTTTGCTTCTTGCTTTCCAATAGAGAGCACTCAAGTTCTTGCTTTGCTGCATCTCCTTGTTAAGATTAGGGCATTGAAGGTGTTCTTTTCCCATAGATAATCCTGGCAAGTTGCACGTGTACATTCTTCTGCATTATGCTGCAAGGCAGTCATGTCCTGTATTCAATCGAAAATTTGCAACAGCTTCTTTTCTGGTGTTCTTACTGTTAATTTCCTGAAGTTTTCCTATTTCTGACCATTTCTTGTTGTACGGTTCTAAGGACGATGAAATATTTACCAAAGAATTAAAAGAAGCAATAAGAAACCTTAAATACTTCAACAAAGATGTCAAATCAATAAGAGGGCCAGAATCAAAGATGATTACCTAATTGGATCATACATAGTAGTGAACTGTCTTGCTGGAATTCAGTGTGATTCCCTTCATACAACACTTCCTCTTGTATTGGTGGATGTACCCCTTAATGTTCACTACAGCATGTGCTTCAGCAGGATGATGCCCTTCTCCACATTTCATGCAAAGTAGCTACTAGTACAATAGTGGCGAACTATGGACCATAGTCCAGATCTGGCAATATCAACTTTTGCTCCAGCCCCTGGAGCTCACAACAAGGCTCAATCAATAATTTTTACTTATGAATATATATTAAAATAAAAGTTTTCAAATTTATTTTAAAGTTAAGTAGTTAACCAGGCAAAAACTATAGCAAACATAGCTGAATACAACTGGAGTGCAGAAGAAGCAAACTTTTTGCTAACCTAGTAACAATGTGTCCCTGTGAATATGTAAGTGCCATTACCTTGAAAATACTGATCTTAGGGAAACTGGTTGTAGGAATGAGAGGTGGATGTAACTGGATCAGGATTATCTCCAATGGTGGACTTTGGTATTCATGGTATTTAACCTCCAGGATCTACTACCAGAGCAATACTCTTCATATAGAGCCAAGTAGGAGTAGTACGATGGGGTACCCAAAAGAAACCGAACTAATTTTTTTGTGGGCAGAGCTTTTGTAGTACCGTGTTTTGCCACTATGAGCGCATAGAGCTAACATTCCTGAGTCGATAAGCCGACTACTGTTGCTTCAGAAGGTAAGGACTAGTTTCGGCAGTAACAACTGTTTTGTGTGATCGTCGTTTTCGCAGTGGCTGATTTTCATGAACAGCATGCGGCGGTGAAATTCTGCTTTTTGCTCGGGAAAAGTGGAACAGAAACTCTTGAAATGTTAAAAATGGCGTACAAGGACGATGCTATGGGGAAAACTCAAGTGTTTGAGTGGTTTTCCCGTTTCAAAAATGGTGAAATGTCAATTGATGACAAACCTCGTTCTGGTCGTCCTTCCACGGCCCGAACACATGAAAATGTTGAAAAAATTCGTGAAATCATCAAGGAAGATCGACGACGGACCA